TATTGAACGATCTTCACGATTCTATGGCTATGATTTTCATGATTTTGTTTTCCTTTTCTTTTCCCTTCTATTGATACTTTCCTATTATAAAATCTTGATACTTTATCTTTTAGGAGATTATGCTTGTTTCATAAGTTTAGGAATTTACTTGTACAAGGAGATTAGGTGAGATGTAATTCTTGTATATAAATCGTTTTATTGTTAATGAAAGCAGAACTTTCAGCCTCTTTGTTTCTCAGTTTTGTTCATTTTATTAATAATATTTTTATTAAAATAAATATATAATATTTTTATTAAAATAAATATATAAAAAGATTATGTAGCATTACATAAATATAATGGAAAAAAGTTCAATTTGCACCATAAACTTGGACCAAATGTACAAAACCACAAATGAACTTTTAGATCAAAAAACCCACGAGTTTGACATTTTATTATCACTTTAGCCCAATTTTTCACTAAGGATTTATGTATGTTCAACAAGCGGTCAACAATAAGAAATAAATGAATTAAAAATTATTTTTCTCTAATAAATAAATAGTAACAACAACATCTCCTTAGCCAAAATAATCAAATTTAAACTAAAATCTCTAAATCTATCAAATAAATAGTAACAACAACATCTCCTTAGCCAAAATAATCAAATTTAAACTAAAATCTCTAAATCTATCATCTGCAGAATGAAATCTACTGAGTTGGAGAAGGAAATCGAGAGAGTAGAAGAAAGATAAGTTATGCTAGTTGAGTTTCGAGAACGGGTAATTATCGAAGCAATCGAATTCGCGGCTATATACATTATAAGGGAGCGAGTCATACTGTGCTTGTAGATTGAAAGCTCCTAGTTGGATTTCTTAGAGCGAGAAGAAAACGTGTAGAAGATTTTATTCCTGCAGATTCTTAAAGGTAAATGCAAATTTGTTTTTTCTGTTAATCAACTTCTTTTGTTATTGATTTATCAACAAGCAAGTACTACTTATCATACCCTTTTCAATCTCCGTTATCATCCTTTTGTTCTTGAATCTTTATTAAAAAAGTTTTTTGGTTTTCCAGCCAAAAGTGATGTTACTTCTTTGAATGACACTACGAAAAAATGGACCAAAGAGCTGTAGATGTGATTAATAAGCTGAAGTCTTAATCAAATCTAAATACTTCCTTCCCTACCATGCATCAAAAGTTTATTATGAAATCCTAATTCAAAAAGCATGGATGGGAAGATGGGATCATTAATAATGGAGTTGAGATAACAAAGGGAGAAGTATGAAAAGGGTAAAGAAAAAGGAGTTCTGGTTGGTGTTTGCTTTGTGCTTTACATTAGCTGTGTTGATAATAATCATTTTAAATTGAATTAGTTATGGGATTTGATTTTAATTGCAATTGATCTGACATTATTTTAGTAGCTTTTGTTGAACTGAAGCTTTTGTCTTTGGAAATTTTGACAAAATGTTGCAGTTTTGGTTTCGGTATGAAAATGTAATTATTTCGTTTATGGAATAAAAAATTGCTGCAAAATTTGGAATTGCCATATTTGTTTCTTCAAAACTTTATTTGGTGTTGCATAATTATTTGATCAATGAATATTACATGTGACAGGTTATGAATCCATAAACTATTTATTCTGTTTCAGAATTAATTCATGAAAAATAGCTTTCAGCTTTCATTATTTTTCATAATTATTTGATCAATGAATATGACATGTGACAGGTTATGAATCCATAAACTATTTATTCTGTTTCAGAATTAATTCATGAAAAATAGCTTTCAGCTTTCATTATTTTTCATAATTATTTGATCAATGAATATGACATGTGACAGGTTATGAATCCATTTTTCATAATTATTTGATCAATGAATATGACATGTGACAGGTTATGAATCCATAAACTATTTATTCTGTTTCAGAATTAATTCATGAAAAATAGCTTTCAGCTTTCATTATTTTGTCTAAGGAGATATTGCTGTTACTATTTACTAGTGAAAAATAATTTTAATTCATTTATTTTTTATTGTTGAGTGTGTGTCATGAACACATAAATCTTTAGTGAAAAATTTGGCTAAGTGACAATAAAATATCAAGTTCCTGGGTTTTTTATTCAAAAGTTCGTTTGTGAATTTTTTGTACATTTAACCCAAATTTAGGGTGCAAATTGAACATTTTTCCAAATATAATTGACATTTATTATTTATTTTTGTGAAATTACTATTTCAAGGATATTTTAGGAAACAAAAGCAAATGGTTTTTCAATTATGAATTTGTTCCATACATAAGTACCTGGAATTCAATTGAATTACACGTTTTAATAACTGAATTCCACGTTTTAAATTAACCATACGAAACATGAAAATTCATTTATAAACAAATTCTGTTATAATGAATTCCACTAAAATTTATTTATAAATAAATTTCATATTTTAAATTTATTTATATCAAACGGAGTGGAATGAAAAGTTATAGATTTTTTGATTTGTATTTGTAAAGCAATAAATGAGAATGCCAGCAAAGAAATGAATACAGGTTTTGAGAAAAATAAGTAGCTAAAGCTATAATGAAATTTTAGTTGTATTATTGATAGATTCCTGCGCCTTTACAATGAGCATTACCTTCTCTTTGCTTTGGAGCTCGAGTTTTCCATTCTTTTACTTAAGAAATTGGCCAACTGAGTTCTTCTAAATTGATTTTTGACCATGTTTTAATTAAGTTAATAGTTTGATTTTTTTTTTTTTTTAGTGATAGAATATATAAATTCACCCCTGAACTTTTCTGCTTTAATCTTATAGCACATTCAACTTTTACTTTAACTCATTAAACACTTTAATTTATAAAACTACATTTATTAAAAACTTCAATTTTCAAAATTATTTTATTAAACACTCCAACTCGCAAAATTAGATCATTAAATAGTCATCAAAAAGTTAAAATTTATAAAAATTATTATTTAATTAAACAACTCCAACTCGCATTAGATCATTAAATAAGTCATCAAAAAGTTAAAAAAATTTATAAAAAATTAATAATTTAAAAAAAAGTCATGAGCTAAACTACATATCAGCCACATATTTGTAAAAAGATAAACACTAAAAAATTATTGATAATTAAGAATAAAAAATGTATAATAATTATTAAAATCTACAAATTGAAGTTGCACGATAGAAATTCAATTCCGTAAAGTTCAGAGTGCCTACAAGTATAAAGTTAGCAAAAGAAGTTCAGAAAGTAAAAGTTATGTATCAACCTTTTTTAATATCATAAGTTTAAATGATAAATTGACCTGATTTATGATATAAATTGCTTATTTAATCGAAAATCAAGAAATTTTTTGTCCAAAAAAAAAAAAAAGGATTACAGATTTATGTGTTTAATTTATTTTAACTAATAATTATTTATATACGACATGGTTTCAAGTTTCTTATTAATTTTAACTAATGTAAAAATCAGTTAGTTAAATTCCATCCAAATTAAAATTCGAACTTCAATTTTCAAAATTATTTTATTAAACACTCCAACTCGCAAAATTAGATCATTAAATAGTCATCAAAAAGTTAAAATTTATAAAAATTATTATTTTAAAAGTCATGCTAACTACATATCAAGCCAATATTTTAAAGATAAACACTAAAAATTATTGATATTAGAATAAAAAATGTATAATATTATTAAAATTTACAAGTTGAAGTGCACGATAGATCATTCGTAAAGTTCAGAGTGCCTCCAAGTTAAAGTTGCAAAGTTCAGAAGTAAAGTTATGTATTCAACTTTTTTTTAATCATTAAGTTTAAATGATAAATTGACCTGATTTATGTAAATTGCTTTTTCGAATTCAGATTTTTGTCCAAAAAAAAAAAAAGGTTCAGATATGTGTTTAATTTTTTTTAACTAATTTTTTATTACGACATGGTTTCAGTTTCTTTTAATTTTTATGTAAAAATCAGTTAGTTAAATCCATCCAATTAAAATTCGAAATTGAAGGGATAAATGACCCGATGCATAAGGTTGATACTATATTTTCGGTGATTATCCTTATGGCCTTCTAAATTTTGTAGAGGATTCATTATGATCCTACACTTTCACATTTTAATTTTAACTATACTCTTCACTAAAATGAAAATGTAGGGTCATGATTGAATCTTACAAATTAAATTAATTAAACACTTAGTTGATATTAAAATTATAAAAGTTATTCTTTCAAATATTATATTAACTATACTTGAAGTGAATATTTTTGTACATAAATGCTAAAAACACCAAAAATTATCGGTGCTACTATATATAGGATAGGTATAATGTTATCAAAATTCATAACCTCATGGGCATAATAAGTCTCTTGTAAAGTGTGGGGTGCCACAAAATTTTTTTTATGAAGTACAGAGGTAAATTTATATATTTAGCCATTCTTCATATATTTAATCTACATTTGTCTTTGTCTATTCTAGATTCACTGTAATCTTTAGTAGATTAGGGATTTTCAAATTGAAAATAAAGTATGTTTAGCTTTGGGTATAAAGCTAGTTGTAAGGGTTGTAAGTAACCTTATCTTCTCTTGATTGAAATTAATGTCTTGAATTGAGTTTTCTATGCTCTGTAAAATAAAAGGATTGAAAAGTTTACTAATATGTTAGAAAATCTAATGGGACAAATATTAAATCTAGGATTAAAAGAATTGAAAAGTGATATGCTTGAAGAGTGGATATAAACGGATTAACGTCGAACCATTATAAATCTCTAATTGTTTCTATTTTACTTGAGATTTTAGTTGATCACACTTGTTTTATTCACACACTTGATAATCCTTTATAAAAAAAAAAAAAAGTAAAGTTGGTGATATTATTATATTTAAATGACTTAAGTTTCCATTTTTATGCAAGAAATTATCTAATCCAAGTGGATGATAAGTATCTATATTTATTTCTATATATTTTTAGATTATTATATAGTAATAATAATAGATATAAATAAAAAGATTCGCTGTCTTTTAACCCGCGTTAGGAGGTTATAACACTATTTCTTTTCTTCCATATAATAACAAAACGCAAAATGCTAAAACGTACGCTCCATTCAGAGTCAAAAATCTGACTGAAGCCGGAAGCAGAAATTGTCTTCTCAGCATGGGTCACCTGAATGGCTAAAATCATGTGTTTCTGTTTATGGATTACTCCTCGATAAACGGGAATCTCTACTTTACCGGAAAAAATCAACCAAAACCATCGGTGATTAGTCTATATAGCCTCGTCTAGATCTGTTTTTACTTGAATTGGTGGAAACCATGGCAAACCTCAATTCAAATATGCAAGAAGAAACCCAGTATCAGGAACCCACCACGCAGATTCCACCAAAATCGCCAAATATATCTCAAGAAATCCCTATCACCACCGCAAACGCCGCCTCCACCTCCAAATTAGCGAAGAAACTGACTCTCATCCCTCTTATATTCTTAATCTATTTTGAAGTTGCTGGTGGTCCTTATGGCGAAGAACCAGCTGTTCAAGCCGCAGGTCCTCTCTTTGCTTTACTTGGTTTCTTGGTTTTTCCATTTATATGGAGTGTACCTGAAGCCTTAATTACAGCTGAGCTTTCCACTGCTTATCCTGGCAACGGAGGATTTGTGATATGGGCAGAACGTGCTTTTGGTCCTTTTTTTGGATCTTTAATGGGTTCTTGGAAATTCCTTAGTGGTGTTATTAACGTTGCAGCTTTTCCAGTTCTTTGTATTGATTATATGAAGAAAGCAATTCCTTCTCTGAATTCAGGTTGGCCAAGGAAACTTGCAATTACGTCTTCAACCTTAATTCTTTCATTTCTGAACTACACTGGTTTAACCATAGTTGGGTATGTTGCTGTTCTGTTGGGTATAATTTCACTTTTACCTTTTATACTAATGTCCCTTATTGCAATCCCTAAAATTCACCCTCATAGATGGCTCAGTACTGGGGATAAAGGTGTAAAGAAGGATTGGACATTGTTTTTCAATACCCTTTTCTGGAATTTGAATTTTTGGGATAATGTTAGTACTTTAGCTGGAGAAGTAGATAAACCTCAAAAAACATTTCCTCTTGCTTTATTCATTGCTGTTATATTCACTTGTGTTTCTTACTTTATTCCTCTTTTGGCGGTGACCGGAGCGGTTTCTGTTAGCCAAAGTGATTGGGGGTCAGGATTTCATGCCACAGCAGCAGAGATGATTGCAGGAAAATGGTTAAAATATTGGGTTGAAGCTGGTTCTGTTTTATCTGCTGTTGGTTTATATGAAGCACAATTAAGCACTAGTGCTTATCAACTTCTTGGTATGGCAAATTTATCAATTTTGCCTAAATTTTTTGCTAAAAGGTCAAAATGGTTTAATACTCCTTGGGTAGGGATATTAGTTTCTACATTGATTACAACTGGAGTATCATACATGACTTTTACTGATATAATTTCATCTGCAAATTTTTTATATACTTTAGGTATGTTATTGGAATTTGCGTCTTTTCTTTGGTTAAGAAGGAAATTTCCAGAATTGAAGAGGCCTTATAAGGTTCCAATGAGGCTACCAGGACTGGTGATTATGTGTTTGGTTCCATCTGTGTTTTTAGTAGTAATAATGGTTGTTGCTACTAAGGTTGTTTATCTGGTAAGTGGGTTGATGACTGTTGGTGCTATTGGATGGTACTTTATTATGAAATTTTGCAGGTCAAAGAAGTTGTTTAAGTATAGCAATGGTGAAAATATTGAATGATGAGAAAAGGGCATGGCTTGAATTGGTCATACATGAAGAAATTTATCATTTAGTTTGAAGCTGTAATTATCAGAATCAGTTGGGATTTGGTTTATTCAGCATTTAGATCCACAATTTACTGGATTTGGTTACATTTCTTGTAATGCGATACAATTGTGGTTGTTTCTGTTTTTTTCGTTGAAATCCTATATGTGATAGCTTTTTCTGTCTTAAATTTTTTTTTTTTTTTTCTCCTTCTTGGCCATCGGTTAAGGGCAATACAACCCACAAGAGGGGAATATTAATTACAATTAAATGTTAAACAGGGAATTAAATTTGGGACTCAAGGTTCCAGGGCATCACCCCTTCACTAGGCCAGTGATCATTTGCTTTTGAGTCCAAGTCATTCATCTATTAAATATGCGCAGTATTTATTTAGCTTTGCATTTCAAATATTTTAGTCGTTGAGCCTGTTTAGTATAATCATATTTACGAACCAGAGCCTAATTAGCTCGGTTCCGGTGTATTCGAATATATTTCTATGGTATTTAAATTCGAATCCAGATGGTATAATAATCGATTCAAATCGAATTAAATTGATTTGATTTGATTTGGATTTAGATATTGCAAATCAAATTAGTGGACTTAAAATAAATTAATTAATTATAGGTTCTAATAAATAAATTAATAAATTAATTTTGATGTTTTTAATTATAGGTTCTTATGTGATATTGCTTTCTAGAAGGTAAATCGAATTTAATACATGTATTGAGAATGAAATTTAAATTTTGTAATTAATTATGTTTTGAATTTTTTAAAATATGGGTAAACATTTTACTATTAAAATTTATTAGTTAAATAAATGAAATTAAAATAATTTTTTTAAATATATTTTTTCTCTTTAATTTTTTTTTGGTGATGATGGTGTACATTTATTTAGTGTATTTACACATTAATACATTCGACTAATATCATATAGACAAGTTTTTCCTTAGCTTATTAAAAATAGACTATAAAAGTTTGAATTAGTGAAAAAAATGGGTATTTGGACATATTTATATCATTTTCATTTTCAATTTTTCTATATTAAAGATGAAATGTTACAAAAAAATTCAAGAGCTCTCTTTTAATTCAATATTTTATTTTATATTTTTGAAATTTGTGAAAAATTTATTTAATTTTTCTATGATTTAATTGGATTTATTTTGTTAAAAATAATTTTTAAATAGGTATAAATATAATGGACCTTTGAAATTTGAATATATAGGTATAAAATATAAATGGACCGTTGAAATGGCGCTGAATAATATTATTATATATATACTATATATATATATCTTTGTAAGCATATTTGTTATATATAACTTTGAAATTTTTGAATTTAATCTCATATATATAGATCTTCCATTACTTATATCATCGTTTGTAAATTGATTTTTAAGTTAAATATTAACATTTCTTTATGTCATTTTGAAGCTTTTTTTAGCCGAGAAAAATATTGAAACAATTGACATAAAAGTAGTTGCATATGAAATATAAAATTAGATATTGCAAAATTTTTAGTTACCTTTAAATAAAATTTTAATTTAACGAATAATAATAGTATTTTTTTTCAATGAGTTTGATTTTTTATCACTCTTTTTGAAATAGTAGTCATTTTTTATTTATTTTATAAAGTATATTAATTAAAAGGGAGAAAATAATTTATATCGTTAATTTTAAATGAGTAAAAATACATGTTATTTTTATTATTTTTAATCAAAATAAATAGTAATATAATTTGATAACAAAATTTATTTAAACATATTTGTGCTCACGCATATACGCAGAATTATGAGTAGAAAATTAGATATTAGTTATTATATTTAAACTTAAAAGGAAATTTAAATTAGATAGATGAAAATATCCTAAGCATTTATACTTTATTAACTCAAGTTAGATAACTTAAAAAAACCAACACAAACCTAATTTAGATAATGATTATGAATATAATGTTTTTCACATTATATATAGGGACCAGTACTTAAATTAAACATACTATTTTTTAGAGTTTCAAAAAAAAAAAAAAAGAAAGCTATTTTAAAGAGAGAAGTAGAAATATCATTCTCTTTTCAATTAGATGTTAGAGTGTAAAACATGTAATAAAAAAATTTCATTGTGTAAATAAAAGATAATATAAATTAATCATTATATTTATTTTAATCTAAATAAAAACTTATATTTTATATTACATAAATAAAAGGACTAAACAAATTAAAATAAATATATAACGAGTAAAGTTAATATATAACGCACGTCATAAAAGAACTAGTATATAAAAGTGAAAATGAATGTATGGAACATTGAGATTGTCAAAAATGCCACTACTAAGTTTATAGATTGATAAAAATATCATTAAAGACCTTAATTTTGTTGTTGAAAAATAAAAATAATTTAATTTTAATTGATCATATTAATTTCTTATCTAAATCTAAATTTTATTGGATAAAATAAAATATTATATATAGTATATTTAATTATTATATTTAACAAATCATTAATTTGATTTGTTATAATTATTTTCTACAAATAACTTATTATAAAAAAAATAAATGTAATTTATTATTATTTCATATTAATTTCTTTATTAAATCTAAAAATGATGTTGATAACTCTTTTATTGGATGAAAATAAAATATTTATAATATTCAGGGTATATTTAATTATTTATTTTAACAAATTCATTATTTTGTTTGTGATTATAATATTTTCTTACCAAAATAATCTTATTTTATTAAAAAAAATAAATATTGTAACCTTCATTTATTATTTTATAAGGTGTTATATATAGGCCACACCATGTTAATAAAATTTATTGTTTAAATATAAAATAGAAAATAAAATACTCACTAAGTAAATTAATTATAATATCTAAAATATAAAATTATATTTTATAGCAAACCGTTTTATATTAACAAACCATATAACACGTTGAAATAATTTTTTTCTTTTTTTAGAAAATCACGAAAAGATTAAATTTTATTACGTTTATGTTAAACATAGCAAAACGCCGGAAAACGGAAAGATAATTTAAAATAATAAATTAAAACAAATTTTCCTCGTCTAAAACAATATTTAATTATATCAATTGTTACTGCTGCATACTTCGACCTATAAGTAGTCTTGCAGATATCCTTAATCTCTTCACTATTGAATCAATAGAACAATTCATATTAATGCATCATTTTATATTTTAGAAATAATTAAGTTTTATTCTTTATATTGTTATAGAGGATACTAAGTAATTTGATTTTTATGAAAATTTAATTTCAAATTTTATAATTAGATATAATGTTATATTAAACTAAATATATTTTAGCCTTAACAATATTTAACTTAATAGTTGAATCTTTTTTATTTAAAATTATTTTCCTCTAAAATTTTTTGTACAACTTGAGTTGTCAATACTATTTAAGTTTTTTAATATTCATAAAATCGTTCGTATGGTTAATCACTGTAATTTTTATTAAATACACAAAAACCACACCATACTAGAAATATTACACCATCATAAACAAAAGATGATTTGAATAGTATAGACAAATCTAGTGTTTTTTCTAAGTTGTGTCAATTTCAATTGGAAACTTTTTTTTATTTGGACCGAAATAACAGTTTCGGCCCTACACACATAGAAACTAAACTATCTGCTTAACTCACCAAATCGATTTGAAAAACAAACTATTTGACGCTGTTAAATGTTCTTTTGTGTTGTTATAATTATTTTCTACAAATAACTTATTATAAAAAAAATAAATGTAATTTATTATTATTTATTAAGGAACATGTTATAAGATTTATTGTTTAATATAAAATAGAAAATAAAACTCACAAGAAATATATATCTAAAATATAAAATTATATTATAGCACGTTATATTAACAAACCATATAACACGTTGAAAGAATTTTTTTCTTTTTTTAAAAATCACAAAATTAATTATACGTTTATAAACTTTAGCAAAAGCGGAAGAAAAATAAAAAATTATAAACAATTCTCTAAAACAATGATTAATATATCAATTATTATAATAGCTAATACTAATCTCTCATATTTGAATAATAGAACAATTTATAATATCATTTTATATAAGAAATAATTAAGATAATTAAATTTAAATTGTTATAAGAACTAAGTAATTTTATTTTTATGAAAATTTAATTTCAAATTATAATTATATTTTATATTATAAATATATTTTTCCTTAACAAATTACTTAACTATTGAATTTTTTATTTTATTATTTCTTAAAATTTTTTTTACAATTTTGTCAATACTATTAAGTTTTTAATATCATAAAATGTCATGTAATACTATAATTTATTAAATACAAAAACACACATACTAGAAATATACACCTCAAACAAAATTTGAAGTATAGACAAATCTAGTTTTTCTAATTTTTAATTCATTGGAAACTTTTATGGACCGAAATAACACTTCGGCCTACACAACAAAATAACTATCTCCTTAACTCACCAAATCGATGAAAACAACTATACTAATGTCTTTTTTGGGTATAATTTCACTTTTCCCCTTTATACTAATGTCCCTCATTGCAATCCCTAAAGTTCATCCCCATAGATGGTTTAAATACAAGGGATAAAGGTGTAAAGAAAGACTGGACATTGTTTTCCAATTCCCTTTTTTGGAATTTGAATTACTGGGATACTGTTGGCACTTTAGCTGGAGAAATAGATGAACCTCAAAAAATATTTCCTTTTGCTTAATTGATTATTGTTGTATTTACTTGTGTTTCTTACTTTATTCCTCTTTTGGCGGTGACCGGAGCGGTTTCTGTTAGTCAAAGTGATTGGGTGTCAGGATTTCATGCCACAGCAGCTGATGTGATTGCAGGAAAATGGCTAAAATATTTGAAGCGTTCAATATTGGACGGCACTTTCTTATGAAATTTTGCAAGTCAAAGAAGTTGTTTTCAGCATAGAAATAGAGAAGATGTTGAATGATGACAAAAGGGTATAGCTTGAATGCTTGAATTTGTCTGACCTGAAGAAATTTATTAACTAGTTTGAAGCTGTCATTATAAGAATTAATTGAGATTTGGTTTGTTTAGTATTTAGATCCCCAATTTACTGGATTTGGTGAGATCTAAAGGCTTGTAATGCACAATATAGATGTTTCTGTTTAAATCGTGTTTGATAAAAACTTTTTATTTGAAACCGTCAAACCGAAATAAAT